ATCTTACGTGGCTAGCTTGATCTCTTTAGGGATACCTGGGCTCATTGTATACCATGAATTCGTACTAGCTCTGTCCTACGCTGTGCATACTATTCACGATACCTCTGCCTCTTCTTCGTACTGTTACATGTCTGCTCATGCGATCGTATCTACGTCGTCTCTTCTTACTTCTACTTATATCGTATCCGCTGGTACTCTCTCTTAGTATGCTCGATATGCCCTCGACATTGTGATATTGTTTTCCCGTCTCTTCATGTTTCGTTAATTCTTCTCGACCTCGCCCAATTTTCCTTTACTTGATTCTCATTCTCACGCCTTCTCTCACTGTCTCTCCGCTCCTTTAGTCAATGCAATGTTCATGTTCCCTCCCCACTGTTTGTGTTTGAAAAATTCGCTTCCTGTTGAAGTTGGTGCGCAGAGGCTGTTGCTGATGATTCGTGCGTCTATCTTCGCGCATCTCATCACAGCAGTTTTCTCCCTTTAAATGTACAACCGCGATTCAATAAAGACGATGGTTTGGTTTGTGTGTGTGTGTGTGTGTGTGTGTGTGTGTGTGTGTGTGTGTGTGTGTGTGTGTGTGTGTGTGTGTGTGTGTGTGTGTGCGATGCGTATGCCCGTCTGCTTTGTCCCTGTGTGTGTGCTTTTGTCATATTCGTTCGCTTCAACCACTTGCCGTGCTCACATGCTGGATTCATTCATTCATTCATTCATTCATTCATTCATTCATGTGCGCGCGCGTTTCAGGGACGAGCGTGTCATACAGCGGGCACATGGCTGGCTTCATCATCGGCTGCACTCTCGGCACTTCCATCCTCAAGGTGCACTCTCACAGCTGAACGGGCGTTTGGTGTGCTATTCTGCTGCACATGCACGCAGCTGCGCACACTTCCATGCACAGAGCTACGCACATCTGTACACACCCCGAAGAATTGACACACACACAAGCACACACACCCAAGCACACACACTCTCTCACTCTCTCACATACAACTACGCACACACACATACACCTGCTTACCTCTGCGTGCTGTGCAGAATCTTGAGGGCCACCGCTACGAGAAGGTTGTCGGCTATGTTGGGATTGGCATTGCCGTGGCCGGGTTTGTGTTTGGCCTCTTCTGGAACATCTTCTACGACTACGAGATTGACTCGTGCCCTAAGCTCTGATGATGGCAACGGCTTTGTTTCATGGTTGTGATTCGTGACGATCATCAACCATAACGGCGCTGCCACTGCTGGTGGTGGTGGTGATGCTGCTGCCACTGGTGGTGGTGGTGATGCTGCCGTTGTCGATTCGTGCGTGCATGCGTGTACGCCTGCATTTGTCACGCAGTGTCTGCCCCACTCCTCCCACATCCTTGGGTGCCCCGACCACCACCACCTCTTCTTCTTCTCTTCCTCTCTTCCTCTCTTCCTCTCTACCCCCTTTCTTTATGCTTCATCCGGTCTTCTCCCTTGCATGTGCATAACGATGCATTCGCCTGGTCGGTCTGTCTGTCTGCCCTGTCATGTATGGTGAGGGGGTTCACCACGTGCCCTCTCCTTTCTGTTTCAGACGCCCATAATGTAATTCCCCCATTTCAACACACACGCATGGCGGTAGCGGTGGGTGTCTGTGGAGCGCAGAGGGGGAAGCCAACCTCACACATGTGCAGTGTGTGCGTGTGTTGTGTATGTGTGCGAACACGCTCATGCCATGTGCGATGTGCGATGGATGGTGGTCACAAGGGAGAGAGGAAAAGAAAAACGAGAAGAAGAAGGAGGAGTTTCGCGCCAAAAACAGACAGCAGCGCAGACGACGAAGGTGGTGTGGTGGTGATTCCGAAGAGGAGAAGGCACACCACGAGCACAAGGCAGGCAGGCATGTCGCTCAAGGCATGGCTCACACGCCAGACCACCAGCGTGGACAAGGTCCGTCTGTGTGGTGGTGGTGATGGGTGATGAAGGGTATGGTGGGAACGTAGTGGGAACGCAGTGGGACCTGGGGAGAAGGCAGGGGGTTGTGTGTGTGTGTGTGAAGAGGGTATTGCTGCGCCACAAGCAAGCGGACACGCACGCACGCACGCACGCACGCACGCACGCACGCACGCACGCACGCACGCTCACTCACACTCACTCACGCTCACTCACACTCACTCACGCTCACTCACACTCACTCACTCACTCACTCACTCACACACACATATACACACACATACACTCACTCACTCACTCACTCACTCACTCACTCACTCACACTCACTCACTCACACTCACACATACACACATGTATGCACACAGGGCAATGAGGAGGATGAGACCAAGAAGAAGACGAAGAAGGAGACACCGTCAGAACAACTCGGAGTGCCGCCTGTGTCTCTCAAGGGTACGATGCACGTGCGCTTGTGTGAGCTGGTCATCATTCCCTAGCCGCGCTCTCCCCCTCACCACTAATTCACACGCACACGCTCAATCCTGGCAGATCGCTTGAAGACGCAGACGAAGCCTCAGCCAAGCGCAGCTGCTCCAGGCTCCCTCAAAGGTAAGCCGTTGTGCGATCTCAGGTGTGGGAGAGGAAGCTACAAGCAATCCCTGCAACACCTGTGAAACCTCCATCTCACAGCAACTGCACATACACACACACACACTCACTCACTCACACACACACACTCACTCACTCACTCACTCACACACTCACTCACTCACACACATACACACTCACTCACTCACACACTCACACACTCACTCACGCACACGCACACGCACACGCACACAACGCTACGTCCGCAGATCGCTTGAAGCTGCAGGCACAACAGGCTGGCCCAACACCGAGTGCGGCCACTGCCCATTCGTTAGCAGAAGCGAAAAGTGGAGGCAGCAATGGCACCGGTAGACGAAGGAGCAGTAGCAGCGGTAGCAGCAGCGACGGCGACACCGCGGAGGCTGCGAAGAAGCAAACGCCCAAACCCCACAAGCCGCATCGCAAGCTGGAAAGCAAGCTTGAAGACAACGGGCCCATCTCCGCATCCCCTCGAGCATCGTCCACCACGTCGTCATCGGCGTCCCCAGCTGCCACTCCGCAGCGCGCAGCGCAACAGCAGCCGCCCCCGCTGCCACGCGAGCCCATCCCTCCGTTTGTGCACTTTGCAGTCAAGCACAGGTGGGCTCATGCTTGGCGACCATCAACAAGCTGCGTGGTCGATACTGTGTTGTGTTCATTGCCAACAACCACTCGCACGCTGCTACTTCTCACCCGCAGCCACCTTACTTGCTTGGCACCCATCACTTGCACTTGTCACTGTGCAGGAAGAGTGTGATGGAGAAGAACCCAAAGCTCACTTATCTCGGTGAGGACGCAGACAGAGCTCGTTGTACACCCGTTGCATACATGCTGACTCGTGCACGTAGTTTGGAATGTGTGCGTGCCTGCGTGCTTGCGCGTGTGTGCATGCGTCCGTGCTTGTGCCTGTGCTGCCCTCAGTCGTACTCACACACACACACACACACACGCACACACACGCACGTACGCGCAAACACTCACACACACGCACTCCCACACACACTCACAACGCGCAGCTGCGAACAAAGTGCTGCGGGACATGTACATGAAGCAGCCGGCGGCGGTGCGGCAGCCGCTCGAGGACACGTACCAGCAGGAGCTCACAGCGTGGCGCAGGCAGCAGCAGAGGAAGAAGAAGAAGGCAGCGGGGGCAGAGGGGGATGAGAAGAAGGGGGATGCCAGCGGCGCCATGGACGAGGAGAGCGATCACGAGGTAATTGGGGGGGGGGGGGGAGGGTTGAAGTGTGATGACATGTTGTGGACACAGGGATTAGCGCATGCAACGTGCATATGTGCAAACACACACGCACACACAGTCACACGACACAGCACACAGAGTCACACGACACACGCTTCTTTACTCACATTCTCACTCTAATGCCCATGTGCGTGTGGTTGGCGACAGGTTGACGTGCTGGTGGAGAGCGATGATGGTGCTGATGACGATGCAGACTCAAGGGACACGCACGCGACGCGCAAGGACACGGGCCGCAAGGCAGCGGCAGCAGCAGCAGCGAAGACACAGCAGGCGAGCAAGCGGAAGGCGACCAGCAAGGCAAAGCCTGCAGCCAAGGGCGCGCGTGCCTCTGCAGAGAAAGCAGCGAACAGTGACGACGCGGGGAAGAAGGCGAAGCGAAAGCCAGCAGCGAAGAAGAAGGGCCAGGACAAGGCAAAGAAGGCCAAGACACTTGACAGCTTTCTCAGGCCAAGGTGGACTGACTAGGGGACGGGAAGTGGGTTGTGCGCGCGCGCGTGTCAGTGTATACATGTGTGTATGTGCGCATGTGTGTGTGTGTGTGTGTCGTGCATGTATGTGTGTGTGTGAGTGCGAAGGTGTTTCCAAGCAAGTGGTTTTCGCACGTGGGAATTTCCGACGAACCACACACACGCGTACGCACGCATGCGCACAAACACATACACCAACACTCATGTGCACACAATCACGCGTGCACATGCACACACACACACATGTACACACTCACACACGCACGCACACACAAACACACACACGAACACTCATGTGCACATAATCACATACACGAACACTCATGTGCACACAAACACACACACACACACACACACACACACATACACGCGAACATTCATGCACATGCACACAGGGACCCGACGCAGCCGGTGAGTTTTCCCGAGCGGACAGAGAAGCTGTCGCTGCGACAGAAGAAGTTTTTGTCAAAAGCGGAACGCGAGCAGCTGGCACGCGAACGCGCAGAGGAGAAGGAACGCAAGAAGCTGGAGAGAAAGAAGGTGTGTGTGTGTGCGTGTGTGGGAGAGAGAGTGTGTGTGTGCTTGTGTGTGTGCGTGCGTGTGTGTGTGTGTGTTAGCGTTTGTGTTTCGATGCAGCCACAGCCCCTACGCTCGATCACAATGCGCTCCACAACTCACACTGCCCCCCCCCCATTTCTTTCTGTGATTCGTGCATGTGGCAGAAACTGGCGGCGCAGCGGCGGGCAAAGGAGGAGGAGGCGCGACGGAAGAAACAGGAGAAGAGCGCTGAGCCCTTGAACGACGAGGACTTTAAACACAAGTGTGTCACCGATGCATGCGATGCATTGATGGATGTACATGCTGACTCATTGAGATCACCGTTCACGCACTCCTTGTTTCACATCATACGCACGCACTCACACACACTCACACTCACACACACACACACTCACACACACACACACACACACACACACACTCACACACACACACACACTCACACACAAACACACACAAACAATCACACACACACAATCACACAATCGCACAAAATCGCACAAAATCGCACACCACACCTGCAGCCGCTCGCTGCCGCGCGGACGACGAACACCAACGCGGTTCCAGGGAGATGCGTTCACACACGCGATGATGGTGCTTGAGTTTGTAACCAACTTCAGCAAGGGCCTCCCCTCAGCAGACCACGTCAAGTCCCTCTCCATCGAATCCCTCGAGGTGCTTGCCCCGTGTGTGTGTTTGGGGGGGGGGGTGGATTGAGCATGAACCCTTTCCACCTTTCCTCTGAAGGACTGCTGCGTCCGTCAGTTGCTCACCACCCCCGCCGCGGTACACGCATGTTCCCCGCTCCCCTTCATCTCCAACTTGTACAGGCTGCGCTGTTCAACACAGATGACCCGACCCCGGCAAACGCCATCCTCGCCAACATTCTCATTGCTCTCCTTGAAATTGACGATGGCCCCTGCGCAACAAACGTACGCAGTCCTGTCTGTGTGGTGTGTGAGTGAGTGTGTGTGTGTGTGTGTGTGTGTGTGTGTGTGTGTGTGTGTGTGTGTGTGTGTGTGTGTGTGTTTGTTGGCTGGTGGAGGGCTTGATTGTTTCATTGCTTCAATGCTTACTTGCTTGATTGCTGGCGGGGTTGCTTTTTTTTTGCTGTTCTTGCTTTGTGCACTTCAACATGCACACATCCTCTCATATCCCTCCATTGCATTGCTGTTGCCCACGTGCACGTGCTCTGACATCACCATCACCACCACCACCATTATCACTCAACCGCCATTCGCTGGGTCAGGTTGACATTGGCTGTGGCATTGACGTCGCCGACCTGCCCCTCAACAAAGAAACCGCATCAGAGGTCACTTCCCGACATCCGAGAATGTGCTCTGGTGCTCGTGCGATGCGTTCTGTGTCCCTTACATGCTCTCTCCTTCTCCGTCACGCCTTGTTCACGCCTCACCCCCTCGCCCCTCACCCCCTCGGCCCTCACCCATCTTTCCCTCCTGTTCGCCTGTTTGCTGCTGGTCAGGTGCTGCGGCGGTATCTGCTTGCCATGCCCTCGGAGTACATCCCCTGGCAACCCGATGGCATCACACAGGTGCTCACACCAGCCTGTGCATGCACTCAACACGCACCCAACACGCACACACACGCACACGCACACGTACTTGGCTTGCACATGATCGCATGTGCATTGTGCGTGCATTGCGGATGCTTCGTTGTTGACGGTGCGCTCGCCGCCTGCTGCTCTTGCTGAACGTCTTGTGATGACAGATTCTTGCAGATGGCGACTTTGCAATGCTTTCCCCAAACCAAAAGATTAAGGTGTGTGGATGTATATGTACATGTGTGTGCGCGGATGCATGTGTGCGTGTGTGCGTGCGCATGTTTTGCTTCTCTTGCTTTGCTTGCGTTGCTTGCGGTTCTCCGTGCCACATTATGGCTCACGACTGCGCGCACACCTCCAACTGAACAACGCGCAGGTGCTTGCGTTCCTATGCGATCAGCACATGGACAACGACCACGTTGTTGAGGTGCTTGAAGATGCGCAGGAGAAGATTACGGCACAGAAGCGAAAGCGCTTTTACCTCCAACGCGAACGTGCCGCTGCTGCACGTACACTCAAGGACCTCAAGTCCGGCAAGGCCCAGGTGTCTGTGTCTGTGTCTGTGTGTGTGTGTGTGTGTGTGTGTGTGTGTGTGTGTGTGTGTGTGTGTGTGTGTGTGTGTGTGTGTCTTTACGCGCTGTGAAGATGGTCGCGGGTTCTCATGCCTTGCGCCCGTTCACATGTGTGTGTGCGTATGTCAGGTTGAGAGCGATGAGGCGCTTGCGCGGCGACTGGCCGGCCTCTCCAACACGCGCAGCACCCCGTCCAGCGAGGCAGAGAAGGTGTGAACAGAGGCATGGCTTGCAGATACACACCTAGTATGTTTGCGTGCAGATTCAGGCGCAGTCTGTTTGCGTGCAGATACAGACGTAGTCTGTTTGCGCCATCTGACGCTGTGCCGCACCGACACGCGCTCACAACTGAATTGCATCTGTTGTTCTTGTTTGCCACTGCAGGCGCTGACCAAACTGGAGGACGACCTGGTACGAACCGCGTGGCCGTGCACACACACACGCGCACACATGCAAAGGCTGACATGCCTGGGTGCATGTCACCATGTATGTCACTGTTTGTAACATGTACTCACACACATACTCACGCACATACTCACACACATACACATGCACTAACACATGCACATACACTAACACACATACACTAACACATACACATACACTAACACATACACATACACATACACATACACATACATATACGTTTTCATACACAAACACGTGCACAAAAACACATGCACACATACCGGCGTAGCACAATGCGGAGACGAAGCTCGCTGATCTGCAGTTTGCGTGGGGCCCGCGCTGTGTTGGCCGAGACAGGGACTTCAACTCGTACTTTGTGTTCACGTGCATGCACGGCCTGTACCGTCGCTCCGCCCACACCACCATGCGCACGGACGAGGACGACGGTCATGGTCATGGTCATGGTCATGGTGACGTGTGGCGGGTGTACATTACGCGCGCGGAGCTGGACGAGCTGCTGGAGACATTGGACCCGCGCGGGCGACGAGAGAAACAGCTGAAGACTGCGGTAGGCGCAATCCTGTCCAAGGAGTACCTCACGTGCCTCTCCCACGCAGACCTCAACCAGGTCACCAGCAACAACAACGACGACGGCGACGACGACGAGGATCGCATCGCCGCAGCCCCTCTGCAGGGTAATGTGTGTGTCTGTGTCTGTGTCTGTGTCTGTGTGTCTGTGTGTGTGTGTGTGTTTGTGTGTCTGTGTGTGTGTGTGTGTGTGTGTGTGTGTGTCTGTCTGTGTGTGTGTGTGTGTGTCTGTCTGTGTGTGTGTGTCTGTGTGTGTGTCTGTGTGTGTGTGTGTGTCTTCTCCTTCGTTCCTCGTCGCTGCTTGCTTGTACCGCTGTTCCCTAACTCTTTGCAGTGTTCCTCCCAACTCAACCGCCCCCTCCCCATTTGCACGCGTCCACAGATGCGGCGGCAATTGAGGAGAAGCTCCTCGAACAAACGCGCGACGACGTGCGCGACACATTCACAAGCGTGAGTGCGCATGTGCGCATGCGTGCGTGCGTGGGAGCGGAAGCGGGGGGGGGGAAAGAAAGCGTGTGAGTGTGTGGTGATTGTAGTGATGCTTTTACGCGCCTGCTGAAGATTCCACACACTCACACACTCTCTCTCACGCACACACTCTGTCTCCCTCTCCCTCGCACACTCACACACACACACACACTCTGTGTCTCTCACTCTCACACACACGCACTCACGCACTCACTCACACACACTCACTCACTCCCTCTCTTGCTCGCTCATGTGAACTGTCCGCTGCCGTGGTGTTCTCCTCTGCCTATGCATGCACACGGGCAGCTTGTGGAGCAAGGCATTGACAGCGTTGTTGACGTTGGTGACAAGATCACAGAGGCGCAGACATACGCTGATCTTGCGTCATGCATCCACACCATGCTGCAACGCCTTGATGACACGTGAGCACTCGCACGCGACAATGGACGGGCGGAGTCAGAGAACAAATAAGGGGGCTGCTGCTGCTGCTGCATGTTACAACATCGATGTGGCTGCACACACACACACACACACACACACACATACACACACATGCAGGAGTGGGCGAATGCCGTGTGTTGCCACGCCCACTCACACACGAGCATCATCCCCTTTCTTCGTGTGCCTCTCGCAACAACACAATAATCGTGTGCTTGTGTCAGGTGGCTGCAAGAGCCGATTGGCAGCGCATCAGACAAATTGGAGCTCTTTGAATCATTCCCGCGCATGTGCGAGGAATGCACTTCTGCATCTCAGGTGCATGCTCTCTCGCACATGTTGTAGTCTTGGTGCTGTTTAACAGGCGCTGTACTCGTGCTCCTCTGACCATCTGCCGTTCTTGTGCACACATATACACACACACACCACACACCAGGTCCAAGTGTTGAACCACCTGCTGTACAACTCGATCAAATGGGACGCCGCAAGCACGCAGGTACGCATGCACATCTTGATGCTTCTGTTAACAACGCACACACGCACACACGCACACGCACACGCGCAATACACACACCTGCACACACACATACACACGCGCACACACACACGCCCACTCATGTATCCGCTGGCCTCACCATTCCTTGTCTCCACCACGGTGTTGTGACAGCGACGGTCTGCACGCTTGCAGCGATATCCGTCACACGAGCCGCGGCGAACAACCCGACGCGCAGCTGCAGTGGCGTCGGCCAGGCAACGCGCCATGATCGAGGCCTGGGACCACGACGACGACGAAGAGGAGGAGGAAGACGAAGAGGAGGAGGATACGGAGGAGGAGGAGTCGAGTGGCAGCAGTGGCAGCGACGATGATGACGAGGAAGAGAGCAATGATGGCCGGCGGCGCAGCAGTCGCACAAGCTCGCGCTCATCTCGTCGCAGGACGTGCGTGCTCTGTGTGTGTGTGTGTGTGTGTGTGTGTGTGTGTGTGTGTGTGTGTGTGTGTGTGTGTGTGTGCGTGTGCGTGTGTGTGTCGAGCCGTGGCTGGTCTTGCAACCCCCCTCCCTCCTTCTTCTCACAGCTGACTAATTTACTTGTGCTGTTGGGTGTGTTGCAGGTTTTCACCGCCGCGGGAAATCCAAGGCGTTGCTGTGAACACGTCGCACACAGCCGTACGCTCTTGCTTGCAACATACATGTCCATTCGCTTGCTGCCCATTTGTACACCCTCGTCACACCGCATGCCCTGACCCTTGAACATGTGTGTGCTTGTGTGTGCTTGTGTGTGTGTGTGCTTGTGTGTGTGTGTGTGCGTGTGTGTGCTTGTGTGTGTGTGTGTGTGTGTGTGTTCATGTGCAGAGTTCGTCGCGTGGCGGTCGGGCGGTGAAGGAGATGCAGTGCTGTGAGGCGATTCTGAAGAGCTTACGCAAGTGCGAGCACGCGTGGCCATTTCTCACTCCCGTCACAGAGAAGGAGGTGTGTGTGTATTTGTGTGTGCATTTGTGCGTGTGTTTGTGTTCGTTAGTGTGTTTTGTTCGTTAGTGTGTGTGTGTGCGCGTGTGCGTGTGTGTGTGTGTGTGTGTGTGTGTGTTTGTGTTCGTTAGTGTGATTGTGCATGTGTGCGTGTGTGTTTGCCCCTCTACATGCATGTGTATTCCCCTTCCTCTCGGCGTCCCCCCTGTGGATCTCCGCTCTGCAAACAACCCCACCTCTCCGAACTCACATGTCCTGCTCTCCCCCCCCCCAACTCACACGCACACACGCCCCCAAGGACCCTGACTATGTGAAGCACGTGCAAAACCCCATGGACTTTCAAACCATCATGACACAGCTCGACGCGCGACAGGTGAGGATGATGACATCATTGATCATGTTGGACTCTTCAGTTTGTGCAATCCCGTGTGCAGTTCTGTGCGCGCGCAAATGCAAACACGGATCAGCCCTCCCTTTTTCACTCTGCATCCTATGTGACATTGCTTCGATCTCTGACATCTCACACGCAACCACACACACACATGTGTGTGTGCGCGCGCGTTGAGCAGTACGTGAATGCGCAGACGTTTGCTGTGGATGTGCAGCGTGTTGTGGATTGCTCCCTTGGCTACTATCTCCCGGAGACTGAAGAATACGCGGCCGCACTGGCCATTGAGAAGGAGTTTCACGTGAGTATGTGGTGTGTGGTGTGTGTTGTGCGTTGCGTTGCGTGTTGAGTGTTGTGCATTGAGCGTGCGTGAGGCTGCAGTATTGCCAATTCACACAAGCTCACGTTCACACCACCACCACCACCAACAACAACAACCAACAACGACAACAACAACAAACGACGGCCACAACCCGTAGCGGTTGTGGAAGGAGGCGTTTGGCGAGCGCCAGCCATTGCCACAGACAAGCGTTCCAGATCGAACCTTGCCTGAAGACCAAAGCGACAGCACATAAAGTAGCAAGAACCACAAGACCGTTTCCGCCGCGGCGGTGAAAATTTGAAAGGAGAACGAGAGCATTCATTCCAACACACACTCACACACACTCACTCACACTCACACTCACACTCACACAGGGATGGAGGTGCTCACACATCACGGGCAGCAAGCACAGCTTTCCAGTGTCCATACACCGCCTCGATCAGAGAACACAACCACAATGACAACAACATGTGACTTCCAACGGGCGCTGCACTCGCCCCGACTCTTCAGAACAGCACACACGTCGCCGCACTCCCCGACGACACCGACAACTGCAACAAGTGCAACAACGAGAACTGCAGCAGCAGGTGGACGCTCCAGGAGCTACAGCCCACTTGCACGTCACCGACAAGCATCCAAACCAAACACCCAGCCCGCATTCTCCCCTAGCACCGCCGGCGCCAGCTTGCTGCAGCCACCCACGCCGCTGTCCGTGGCATCGCCTGCCACACCGAGCCCGCTCCGCACCATGCAGGGCACTCCACCAGCAGCAGCCGTGCAAAGTCCGCGGGCCAGTTGGACCACCAGAGAACAGAGTGCTCATCGCTTTCAGACACCACTGCAACGGCGGCTGCACCAACGACGTCCACCGCAGGACTGGATCAGTGCACATCACCATCCCCATCCCCGTCATCATCACCATCATCATCATCATCATCATCACCATCAGGGCGACGAAGACACGGCGCAACACACTGGCGAACACAACGTTACCAGTAATGAGGGCGACGAGGAGCCCGACGAGTTTCTGTCGCCAACTAAGTTCCTGCAACTGGTTGGCACGGAGGACAGTGACGGCGGCGAAAGCTCTGACACGAGTGACTCCGACAGTGATGAAGAAAGCGAAGATGGAGGCGAAGATATGAAGAGCGTTGACCTTGCGCGACACACTGACACCAGTGAACTCGGCACGCGGCAAGGCGATACCACTGACCCAGGTGCGCGGCAAGATTCACCACCACACATGCATCCGCGCATCGAAGTAACATCACCAACATCACCGCCCGATGCAAGCAGCGGCCTCGCTTCGGCCTCCCACTCGGGTGCGCAGCGCCAGTCGCACACGCCAGCATCCACGCATCGCCACCGCCGTCGCCGACACCAACACCATCTCTTTACACCGCGGTCTCGGGCAGCAGCGCGCGCAGCAACGAGTTCCGGCCGCGAACGCAGGCGATATGGGCGTGTGAGCATGCTGGTGCCCTCGCCACTGCATGCACAGGGAACGCAGCGAGCCCCTGGCCCAGCAGCACCGAGAATGCAGCGGTCGCCGCCCAAGCTGCGGCTGATTACGGAGGAAGACGAAGGGCAGGAAGATGGCTGTGATGGCCGTGTCCAGGGCCACGGTGCTGTTGCTGGTGCTGTTGCTGGTGTTAGTGTTGGTGACGACGACAGTGTTGGTGCTGGTGTTGGTGGTGGTGTTCATGGCGAGGACATGCACAGTGTGCTGCGGGAGGTCTCCGTTGGTGACACTTTCTTCGAGGACGAACCGGGTGGAAGCCACACGGCCCAGCACACGGGTTGTTCTGTCGACATCGCGTTCTCCTCGGCAGTAGCGCACAGGTTGGAAGGGGTGAAGGCCAGTGAATCGTTTCTTGGGTTGCATGTGCAGCAGCGGCAGCGGCGCCGACAGCTGAAGCAACACCAGCAGCACCGACCAGCTGTACATGAGAGCGATGATGGTGACAGCGACGATGATCATGATGATGACGACGGCAATGCACAGGAAAGTACAAATGATGATGATCGGCAGGAATGTGAAGTGAAAGGCCTCGAAAGTGCAGAATTGGATCCCACACAACAACAACAACAACAACAACAACAACGCCTGCAGCAGCATGATGGTTGGGCGCGTGATGCGGGTGATGATGATGAAGTGACGGCTGGCACGATTGTCGTGGCTGTGCAGGCGACGGAGGCAAAGTCGCCGCTGCTTCTTGGATGCCTGTATTGGGTGCTGGGCACACGTGATGCAAGCAGCAACAGCAGTAGCAGCACCACACAGGCGCTTGTGCATCCATGCATCCAACAGCAAGCGGCGTGGCAGCGGCCGGTGTGGGTGTCGTGCCATGACATTGTCAACGTCAACAGCTGGCTCCAATCTGTGACCACGCCATAAGCTGTGCAAGCAGTTCTGGGCGTGACTTGCGCTCAGCTGCAAGTGGAAGACTGAGCTATGCATGTGTATGATTGTCTGTGCTTGGTGTGTTGAGCGCTGTTCAGGCATTCCTTTGCTTCATTTGAATTGTCGATGCACACATGTGTATGTTTGTGACACCTCAATCTCTTCCCCGCCCTCCTTTCTCCCTCTCTTCAACTGTGCATACTCACTACAGCCCATGCCTTCTGCGTGTGGTTTTAGTCGCGGTTTCTTGTTGAAATGTGTAACATAACCAAACAGCACGACACGCGTGCTCAACGATTGGCCATCAAACAATCCACCGACAACAGTGCAGGCAACAAGCAATGAGAGAAGAGATGAAGCAGGGCAAGAGAAACCATACACACACATACACACATACACACAGGCGCACGTGGAAGCACTGTCATGGCAACATGCACAAGGAAAAGGGTGCACAGCACAAGTGGAGGCATGAGAACAACGGACGGTGAACAGGAAACAGCACGCAGGCAAACGTGGTGTTAAGGGCAGTGATGTTGAACGCATGGTATTGGCGGTGGTGGTGTTCGACAAACTGATCGCAGCACACACAAGCAAAAGAAAACACAACACAAAACAGCGCGAGAAAGACGGAGGTGAAAACGTACAAAGCAAAACGGCAGTGGAACCAGGAGCACACCACAGCACAGGGTGTGCGTGTGCGCGAGTGTGCGTGCGTTGAGGGTGGGGAAGGGGCAAAGCAACGACATTAAGAGGGTATGGCCAGCGCAAGTGTGTCAGCGAGAAGCGACTACTCGTAGTCGTCGTCCTCCTCTTCGATTTCCTCGAGCGTGGCGGCGCTGCGGAATTGCTGCAGCAGCGACCCAAGATCCACCTGCACACATAAACACGAGAAGACGGGGAGAGTGAGCAAGTGTTCGGGGTGTGTGTGTGTGTGCGTGTGTGTGTTTGGGGTGTGTGTGGTTGTGAGGTTGCGTGTAACAATGCGTAGCACCGGCAGGGGCAACGAGCGACACGTGTGCGTGCCCACTACGTACGCGATCCGATGTGTCTCCGACTTCCGAGACGCAAACCCAAGACGGGCGGGCCTGCCGCACCTGCTCCACATCGTTCAGGTCCACATTCTCTCCTGCAGATCAACGGCCAGTCGCGGCGACGGCACGTGTGAATGTGTATGAATGTGTGTGTGTGTGTGTGTGTGTGTGTGTGCGCGCGCGCACGTGTGTGTGTGTGTGTGTGTGTGTGTGTGTGTGTGTGTGTGTGTGTGTATGTGTGTGAGTATGTCCACATGTGTCCGCGTATAAGTGCGTGTGTCTGCGTGTGAGTGAGTGCAGTGCTGCACCTTGGACTGCCGGTTCCTCGGGAATGGGCTTCTTCTTGACGGATTTCTTGACAGACTTCTTCATCGACTTTTTCTTCTTCATCGACTTCTTTGGCTTCTGCTCGCACGAGCCACGACACGACACGCACATGTGAGAACACTGGGTGAGTTGCGCAGCAAATCACGGCACAAGAAGAGGGGCAAGTGCAAGCAAATGAACAGGAGCGCCCATGCACGACTGCTTCCACGCATCACCACCATCCACGTGCATGGCATTACAATAGATCGACGCATGGAATCGCGCTTGTTGAGGGCCTTGACGAGATCCTGCGTAGCCACGTCATAGATCTGGTGACAACGGGCAGTGCCGCCAGCGGCGTGAGGATGCGTGATGGTGATGCTGCTGATGTTGATACTGATGTTGGCGGTTGCACCAACGATACATCACAATGCACACTGCACACTACACACTGCACACACCACACCACACACTGCACACTGCACACAATGCACACTGCGCGGAACAACAAGCCATGCCCCGTCATTGCCACCTAGGACCACAACAATGCACCTCACCGGATCCTGGGCGGGCGTATCGGGAATGTCGTAGTCCTGAGAGAAATTGGGGAACGATGACCATACGCACGTGCTGGAGGTGAGGGTTTGAGCAGTGTGCGCGCAACAGTAGCAGGCGCACAAGGGCACGTACACACACGCACACACACACACACACATTTGCACTCACACATATTTGCACTCTCGCACATGCACACACAGACGCACTCACTCACTCGGGCACGCACTTGCACTCAACCCTCCCCATCTGCCCGCACCGCCTGCGTGCGCTGGTTGTCGCCGAGATCGTAGTCCGGCTCGGCGGTGACTTGTGGCTGCTCCTCAGGCGACGCCGTGTCGTACACTGCTCAAGCACCGGACACATCACCACGCACGAGACATCAGGAGAACACAAAGGCGCTCACACATGTGCACACACATATGCCAGGCTTGCTTGCACACACACACACACACGCACCCGCACACACACACACACGCACACGCGCGCGCGCGCACACGCACACGCACACGCACACGCACACGCACACGCACACGCACGCGCATGCCAGGCTTGCTTGCAAACATCCCCATGCCGTCCGCGCATACGCACCGCTCTCCTGCTTGGGCTCGTTGTTGACGGGGACCTGTGCACCGTCGCCGGTGTCGTACACGGGCTGTGTCTCCAAGTACTCCTTCTTCAGCTTCTCCTTCTTCGGCTTTGCACGCTGCTTGGCCGCCATTTCCTGGCGTGAAGAAGCACATGGGTGTGAATGAATGGCGGCAACTGTTGACAGAATATGCCACAGCCCGCACACACATGCACGCACACACACGCACGCACACATGCACGCACACACATACACCCGCGTTCATCACGCGTGTACATTCGCAAACGGACGTACAAACGCATGTGTGTGTTACCTGCGCGAGGATAAACGATTGGCCAAGCGTCGCCAGCACTTCGTCTGACAGCTCCTCACAGTTGAACACATACACGGCTGCGCGAATATGTGAATATTGTGTGTGTGTATGTGTGTGCGAATATGTGAATGTGAATATTGTGTGTGTGCGCGCGAATATGTGATATTGTGTGGGGGCATGCATGAGTTTGGCGGTGTTTCGCAGCCACGTGGCAAACAAGGCAAGAACAAGCCAAGTCAGACACACACGCATGAACACGCACACGCAATGCATACCGCGAAAGTTCGTCTCGTCCTTTGCGACGTATGCGACAAGCTCGTATGTGTCGCCGTCACCACCAGCGGCCATGGAGATCATGGGCATCGAGTGGTAGAACAGAATCTGCGGGTTGGCCGTGTCCGCCTGTGGCCACACGTCGTGATGATGACATGAATCGGGGGTGTGAACATGACACCGATACAACCAAGCCAACGGTGAAACTTAAGCGAGAACGAATGTCTAACACACACACACACACACACACACACACACACACACACACACACACACACACACACACACACACACACACACACACACACACACACACACGCACGCACGCACACACACACACACACACACACGCAGACGCCACGTTTCGTGCAGGTTCCTCCCACCTTCTCATCGGGAATGTTTGGGATCACAACCATGCCATCCGCAGCGATGCCGAGGCTCACGGGCAGCTCGGCGACCGTCACCTCGCCTGCGCAGTTTCAACACAACGATTGCCACAATGAGCGACAAACAGGCACGAAAGGACGACACGAGAGGACGACACGAGAGGACGACACAAGAGGACATTCGAATACGCAGCAGCATGCGTTGCTTTGGTCCCATGCCCCGACCCCAATGACAAACAGCACTGGTTACCGTCTGAGAAAGGCTTGATGTCGGCTTTGATCTTTGGCTTCTTGTCCTTGAGACGCTTCGATTCCACCATGAGGCGACGCATCATCTCCCTGCCAAGATCGCAACACGCAGCAGCAGCAACGGTGGGGTGAGTGCAGCGCCACACAAGCTGTGGAAAGAGCGCACAGTGCAGCTGCAAGCGCACAACAACAAATGGAGAAGCGCAAGGCGTTCAGTGTGTGAAGAGACTGTGAAATCGCACCGAATGGCAGCAGTTCGGCGACCGACGGGCAGCTTTGACAGCGACTGGTTCACAGCAATGTGTCCAAGGAACTACGATGTTGTTGATTGTTGGTTGGTGATTGTTGTTGTTGTGGTGTATGTTGTGGTGGTTGTAGATTGTTGTGGTGCATGTTGTGGTTGTCGTCGTGAGTCAAAGGGTAGGAAAGGTAAAAGGGCACTATCGCACGCAATGGCAGCACAACACCATTGCACGCAGTGAAAGCACAACACATGGTCACTGTTACATGCAAATGTGAGCATACTTGTCGTCCTCACGCACTGGACGGGGTGACCACACAACATAAACACAGCGCGAGGTGCACTGCACACAGCACAAACAAGCGCAAAGCACAACTGTGACGCGATCTCTGTGCTCTCACCTCCAGTGGAAAGGAATAGAAGAGGCCTTCGCCCAGTGCCAGGGCATCATCGTCGTGCAGCCAGCCGCCCTCTGGCTCCTCGGTGAAGTCGCCACGGCGGCGTGTGCTGGTGCCAAAGCCAAAAGGCATCTTGTCGTGGTTTGCTTTGGTGGGTGTGTTGTGGTTGTTGTTGTGGGAAGTGCGCTACAGTCATGATGATTGCATATGATATCCATCAAAAATCTGCAATCGCGCTCTGCGAGATCGCCAAAGCAACAAGAACAACAAAGCAAGCAAGAGCGGAAACGTGCTCTGTGCGCTCAAAGCAAAGAAGTTTGAGACGACAACGGCAAGTGCGGTGCCGATGGCGCACCCCCCCCCCTATCCTCTGCCACTGTGTTGAAGAGCTCAACCCCTTTGGTCTGGCAGGCACTTGCTGTTTCAAAATGGGCACAATTCTGCTGTTGCTGTTCAGCCCCAAGCTTTCAGGCTGTCCAGTTCCCCAGAGCAAGAGAGAGGATCCACAAAGCCACATCGGAAGGAGACGTGACACAGGCCCAGAGGCACGCTCCGAAAACAAAGATCACCCAGTCACCGTTCATGCTGCCTCAGACAGGAGACCTGCATAACTGCATAACACGGGCAGAGTGGTTACGTGAAACGTGATGTGCCTGAAATGCTGTTCGTTGACGAACAGCACTAGCACAGCACTCTAAGGGCGCATGGAGCCACCTCTTGCCGTTCCTCTGTGTGCAGCCACTCTGATAACTGGAGGAGACCAACGACACAGGCGTACTACATAGTATGTGCTGCACGACGCTGAGGTGCTGTTGCTATAAGCATGGTGGGGGCTCAACGGAGCAAGGCCTCGAGGCGGCGTGCAGGCCGTACTGGTGTGGACAATTAAAGTGCCCCAAGAGAGGATGGGACGACAGGAGCGCAAGCAGCTCAAGGAGAGTGGATCAATCAGAGCACGTCTCGCCACTGTGTATGAGTGTGTCTGTGCGTGTGTGAAGTTGTGATGATCTCTCTATCCTCTGCTGTGCTCTGGCGCTCTTTAAGCCCATCCTTCTCTCCTTTTGAAGCTCTTCTCCTCTTAGTCTCTTAGCTTTACAGCAGTCAGTTGCTGCTGGGAGGCTGGGTGCGTTGTTTTGCTTTGTTTCTGCCTTCATTTTTCTTCTTCTTCCCAATCCAAATACACAAATATGACTCGATGAACATGTGATGGACTGATGAACGAGTAGTTGCCAAGTTGCTACACACACACACACACACACACACACACACACACACACACACACACACACACACACACACACACACACACACACACGCACACACACACACACACACACACAAGCACACACACACCAGCCCCCTCCCCCACCCCCACACAACACACGATTCGAAATCTTCGCGGCGTGGAGCTGAATTGGGCCCGTACCAGTGCGTTTTTGTGGAAGATTTCACAGATTCGGAAAACGGTCAACGACAACAGCAAAACTGACAAAACCCACTCACTGCAAGCACATACACACACAACAGTCGAGCACAGCAAGGACGAGACGCGAGGTGAGTGAGCAAGCAAGCAGTGACTGTCTCGGCTCTCGCTGCCTTGCCGTGGTGCTGGGTTGGTTGGTTGGTCGGAGAAGGGCAACCAGCAAACCACTCATGCTAAAAACGAGGCAGTTGTATCTTTGTCGCTGGTGTGTGTGTTTGTGGGGGAAACCGTGTCGTGAGGCCTCTTGCTGTGATGTGAACGTGCATGAAGATGTGTTTGTATTTATGGGTTACACTTAGTGAGTCGATCGATGACTGGTGGTGAGAAGCGAACACAAACACAGCCCGTGCGTGTGTGTAGGTGTGTGTGTGTGCGTGTGTTTGTGTGTCGAACCCCTTCCAACCAAAGCACATATCAGCAACCCACTGTGAGTATCGTGTGCAAGCGCACTCCTCTATCTGCGAACGCTTACATGATTTGCTCTTCGCTGGGTATTGGCTTGTCTCAGAGCACGACTTTGTCAACCGAACCAGACTTACAAACATGGAGAAGATCAAGGCCAAGTTTGCTGCCCTCCGCCAGGAACTGGATGAGGCGCACGAGGAGCTCGAAGACACAAAGCAGAAGCTCAAGGTCGCGGAGGATCGCGCAACAAAGGTGCGTACATTGTGTGTTGGGTGTGTTTGAGAGAGCAGGGGAGAGTTGGAGTGTGTGTGCGTGCGTGTGTGTATGTGTGTGTGTGAAGGTATATGTGTGTGTGTGAAGGTATATGTGTATGTGTTCATGCGTGAGCACTTCTTTGCCTCACTGACTTGTGGATGTGACGTTGTGTTACATGCGATGCTGTGCGCAGGCGGAGCAGGAGGCCATCCAAGCTGAGCGCAAGAACACGCTCATCGAGGATGACCTCGACAAAGCAGAAGGTGCAGTGGAACAGAGAAAACGCGGTCGCGCAACCTCCAACACACTCACACACACACACACACACACACTCTCTCTCTCTCACTCGCTCACTCACTCACTCACACACACACTCACTCACTCACTCTCACTCTCTCACTCACTCCCACTCACTCACTCACTCCCTCACTCTCACTCACTCACTCACTCTCACTCACTCACTCACTCACACCATTCCCGATCCAACCTGCAGAGCGGGCAAACACGTTCCAGACCAAGGCGCAGGAGCTTGAGAAGGAGCGCGACGACCTGTTCCGGCAGCTGCAGGTGCTTGAGAAGGCCCAAGACACGGACGGCGACCGCGTGGGCGACCTTGAGGACGAGGTGCGCAAGCTGCGCGACCACAACCTGGAGCTCGAGCGAAACTACTCCGAGGCGTCGCGGAAACTGACGCTGTGCGAGACGGACCTTGAGAAGGCGGAGGACAGGGCAGACCTGGCAGAGGAGAAGGTGAAGGCCCTCCAAGACGAGCTCACACAGGTACGCACGGCGTCAGGGTCGCGAGTGTTAAATGGAAACGTGTGAGGGGATGGGCAGGAAAGAGGGGGGAGGAGGAAGTGGGCAGTGGGAAGTGGGAAGGAGTCCATGTGGTGAGCGCAACCGATGCTCCAGCGCGAAGGGTGCTCTCCACCCGACTGTTCCTCTACATGCTCACATCACCACCGCCGCCATCACACTCACTTCCGTCGCTGTTAACACCATTCATACCACATCACACCACACCACGTCAAACTCTCCAACACCTTCTCTGGTTTGGTCTTGTCAAAGACTGTCAACGAGCTGCGCAGCCTTGAGATTAGCGAGGAGAAGGCGCAGGCCGCCGACGAAGAGAGCGGCGAGAAGATCCGGGAGCTCAACACCCGCATCACGGAGTTGGAGACCATGCACGAGGAAGAGTCACGCAAGGTTCGCGAGCTCGAGAAGGCAAACGAGGATCTCGAAGGTCGGTCCCCCGGTGTCCATTCACGCTCGTTGACATGCACATGCACATGCACATGCACGTGCACATGTATTTACATGACCTGCATGTTATTCGCTCGCCACGGCTGGTTGTTGTTGTTGTTGTTGTTGTTGTTGTTGTTGTTGTTGTTGTTGTTGTTGTTGCTTTTGTTGTTGTTGTTGTTGTTGTTGTTGTTGTTGTTGTTGTTGTTGTTGTTGTTGTTGTTGTTGTTGTTGGTGTTGTTGTTGGTGTTGTTGTTGTGTTTTGTTTCATGCACCACCGATACGTGTTACGAGCACACGCACACACTCTCACTCACTCACCTCACTCACCTCACTCACCTCACTCACCTCACTCATTCACTCACCCCACTCACCTCACCTCACTCACCTTTCACCTCACTCACGCACTCACTCACACCGTCACGACAGACAAGCTTGCGGAAGTGGAGGAGCAGTACAAGCAAGCGAAGAAGGAGCTGGACGAGATTTCCGAACTGGACCTCTGATGTTTCATCCCTCCATCTCCTTCCAATCGCGTTATTGCTGCCGCTTTGTCTCTCTCCCACATGCGCATGACACACCTACCTCGCTTCTTGTCCACCGCCTATGTACTCCTCGCCCGTCTGTCTCTGCAATGGTGGCCCAACGCATGATTTGTTTTGTGCTGCTGCTGCTGCGGCGTGCTCGCCTGTTGTCCTTTCTCTTTTTGTTTCCTTTGCGTTGGTTTGCGATAGACTGCGTTGTTTTGCGTCCTGCTTGCTTGCCTTTGCTTTTCCTGAACGTGAACGTACAAGTGTGTGTATGTGTGTGTGTGTGTGTACATGCGTGTGCGTGTGGTTTTGTCGACCAGAAAACGTCCGTGGACTGTGTTGTGTCTTTGGGCGTGTGCGTGTATGAGCATGTTGAGCGCGTGGCCTTGCTGCTTTGGCGAGCAACCCACGCAAACAACCAGTCATCATCACACATAAAGAAACACAGAACAATGGCAACAACGTGGGTGTGTTTGAGGGCAGGTGTGTGTGTGCGCGTGTGTGCGTGTGTGTGTGTTTGCATAAACAACGAAAGCCCTCGACCACGAACAACGCGCAGTCAACCACAACGAGCAATGCACACGTCATGCGGTGTGCTTTGTGTGTCTATCGATTCACTGTCTAACAACTAACGCCAAGCGACAGCACAAGCAAACGAACCAAACAGAAGACAGAGCAAACAAAGACTTGGACCAAACAATGCAATTCGATAGGTGCCCTGACAACAAAAGGAGTGCATCGCAAACAACAGGAGAGGGGAGAATTGAAGGTTGCTTTGACGGTTGGCTGGTTGGTTGCCTGGTTGGATTGGTTGGTTGGGTGGTTGGATTGGTTGGATGGGATTGGTTGGTTGCTTAGAAGGGGAAGCCACCACCATGGAAGCCGCGAGAGTGGAAGCCGCCACCACCCATGCCACCACCCATGCCACCACCAAACATCTGTGCAAAGAGGTCGTGCACATCAACACCGCCGCCGCCGCCGCCAGGGAAGCCGCTCTGCATGTCCTCCAGATCCTGGACACACGCGATGCAGGGTAAAGGTGGAGGTGGAGGTGGAGGCGATGATGCGTGAGGCGAAGGCGTGATGCAGGACAACAGCGAAAAACAAGCAAAGAAAACGAGTAACACAAGCAAGCAACTCATGTGGTTGTTCGAGTGATTGTGTGATTGTGTGTGTGTGTGTGTGTGTGCTTGCCCACCTCGCCGTTGTCGTAGCGCATCTTCTTCTGCGGATCGGAGAGCACGTTGTATGCCTCACCAACCTCCTTGAACTTCTTCTCAGCGTCGTCCTTCTCCTCCGGGGGTACGCGATCAGGGTGGCACGTCAGCGCAGCCTTCTTGTACGCCTTCTTGATCTCCCGATCAGAGGCATCCTGATGTTATTGGTGGCGCAGCAGCATGAGCACGGGAAGGGGAACAGTTGGTGTGAGTTGGGTGTTGGTGGTCGGAAGAATGAAGGTGTTGGTTGAGTGGTCAGTGAGGTATGCTGTTGGTTTGAATAGCAAATAGCACCCTCACTAGCAACATGTATGGCAAGGAAGCGCATTCCACATCACATACCTTGCCGACGCCGAGGATCTTGTAGTAGTTTTTGCGTTTGCTCTTCTTCAGCTCGAGCTTGGCGTGGCGCACCTTCTCGCGCAGGTCTGATCACGACGGCGACAACAAAGAATGAGGCGGTGAAGGGGAGACAATTGCCGCCGGCGGCATCGTCCATCAGTGAAGAGTCAACCTCAACACACACACACACACACGCGCACACAAAAGAGCAAACAAACGAACGAACAAACAAACAAACAACCAAACAAACAACCAAACAAACAACCAAACAAACAAACAACCGACCAACCAAACAAACAAACAAACAAACAAACAAACAAACAAACAAACAAACAAACAACCAAACAAACAAAAAAAAACATCCACCACGACCGCACCTCTGTTTGACGGGTCTGCCTCGCTAGCCTGCTCGTAGTCGCGAACGGCAGCCTCAAACTCCTCCATCTGCATGTTGATCTCCGCGCGCTTCAGGAGGGCTTTTGTGTACGACTCGTCGCACTCCAGCGCTCGCGTGCAGTTCTCCGCAGCTTCCTCCAGGTTGCCCAGCTGAACCGAGGCAATGGAGAGGGGGGGGGGAAGGTGAGAGTGAGAAAGGGGGTGTGAACGAGTAAGAGAGGGGGGGCGTGTGTATGATATGTGAGTGACTGAGTGAGTGTGTGTGTATACATGTGCGTGCGTGCCTGTTTACCGCCACCAGTGTGTGTGTGTGTGCGCGCTCGTTTACCTCCATCAGTGTGTGTGTGTGTGTGTGTGTGTGTGTGTGTGCTCACCTTCCACTGCACAATGCCGCGGTTGAAGAAGATTTTTGCATTGAACAGCTTCAGCCCTTCCGTCTGGGCCAGAATCTAATCCAAAACGTCGACGCATCACACATCGTCGTGTGAGAAATCGCTCGTTGTAGGCGGCAGAAATGGAGAGCACATGCGAACATGCACACACACACACCTGGTTGTAGAGCTCGAGGGCTTCTTCATATTTTCCGGACTTGAAAGCGGCGTTTCCTTCCTCTTTCTTGGACGCAATCGCCTTCACCTCCTGCACGCACGTGCAGCAGCAGGCGCCCATGGATGCGTGAGGAAATGAACAAGAGCGGAAGGACCGCTGTAGTCATCAAACACGCACAGGCACGTCCACCTTCACAAGTACCCAACTGCAGATGTGTACGTTCAGGCACACACACGCACACACACGCACACACACACACACGTACACCTTCCTCACACACAACTGCACGACAACAACAATAACGGTGCTGGCTGGGCACCTTCAGCTTTGTCCTGCTGCGGGAGTGGTCGGGGTTGCTCTGCAGGGCGCGCTTGAAGTGGGCAAGCGCTTGGTCCATGTCACCCTAATGGTGGTCATGATGATGGTCATGATGATGGCAGTGACGGTGAGGTGATGGTGGTGGTGATAGTGGTGGTGGTGATAATGGTGGTAGTGATAATGCACAGAGAATGGAGCCAGTTTGTTGTTGTTGTTGTTGTTGTTGTTGTTGTTGTCGTCGTCGTCGTCGTCGTCGTCGTTGTTGTTGTTGTTGTTGTTGTTGTTGTTGTTGTTGTTGTTGTTGTTGTTGTTGTTGTTGTTGTTGTTGTTGTTGTTGTTGTTGTTGTTGTTGTTGTTGTTGTTGTTGTAGGTGAGACAACAAGGATGGGTGACAAGAGACGGGTTGGCAACAGTATCGGAAATGCACGATACTGCAGAGAAAGCTTACGGTGTGGAGCATACAGATGCCGCGCGTGTATAGGGCGTCCGAGTTCATGCTGTTCTCCTGCAGCACCCCACTGATGACCGCACACACACACAGGATAGCAGAATGAACGGCATGTGAGCACGTGGTGACGCACCACGACGTTGCAGTGGTGGCAACGCAGTGAAAGATGAAGTGTACTACAGCACCATCCATTCATCCATTCATCCATCACAGCACAACGCATCCGTCCATACAGCAGCAGCAATGGCACGGCGCGGTGCTTACGAAGCGATGCGGGACGCCTCGCCAACACGGTCGGCCTTGATGAGCACGTCTGCCTTCTTCAGCTTTAGGTCGCTGCTGCTCGGCGCAATCTCAAGCGCGCGCTCCTATAAGTTGTGGGGGGGGGAGCAGAAGCACAATGAAGGAGAAGGGATTCGTGTGGTGTGGTGTGGTGAGGAGGCGTGGACGTAACTCCAGGCATTTGCTCGTACACAACGTGTTCCACACACACACACACACACACACACACACACACACACACACACACGCGCGCGCGCGCGCGGCATCACGTACGAGCTGGGAGAGGGCGTTGTTGTAGTGCTTCGACTCCTCTGCTTGCTGGGAGCGGGTAACAAACTGCTCTGCGTGTTCAATATCGGCAAGCTGCACAAAATGGCGTGTAAATGGCGGTGGCAGTGATGAGCCTGGGCGAGTGCGCAGTTCAGGAACTCACACACCAGTCCACAATACGGAGCACACGCACACAAATGAAAAAGCAGCCGCAAGCACACACACACTCACGCACACACACACACGCACGCACACACTCACCAGTGTCTTGGCCTGCTTGTTTGTGGCGTCAATCTTCTGCGCATCGGCAATGTAGCGGCGTGCATCGGAGAAGCGACCCAGGCCCGTGTAGCACTTGGCAGCACGAAGATAGAACTGTGTCGCAACGCGCACGCACGTGTCAGCGGCAGCGACAATAACAACAACAATGGGATGAGCATATGTGTTGCAGGTGACAAACACGAGCAGACCTTGATGTTGGTGTTATCGATGCGGATGGCGGCGAGGGCATCCTTCAGGGCGTCGGAGTACCGCCTGAGCTGAATGTATGCCGCAGCGCGGTTGTTGTAGTAGATGCCACATTCACCATCCAACCCTGCAGTTTTGTGTGTGTGTGTGTTGTGTGAGAGTGTGTGTTGTGTGCATGTGTGTGTGCATGTGTGTGTGAGTGTGTGTGTGTATGTGCGTGCAAAGGAGTACACGCCATGACACCCTCCCTAGTTCACGTGTACGACGAAAGCTACTCATACACACACGCGCGCGCGCGCAACGCATGCACACTCACGGATAGCGTTGGTGTACAGGTCGACGGCCTTGTAAAAGTCGTGGCTCTTGTACGCGGCATTGGCCTGCTCCTTCAGCGCCGCAGCTTGCCTACACGATACACACGCACACGCAACACACACATACATACATACACGCGTGTCAGGACAATGTGGTCTTGTTCTGGGCGCTGTTGCAACGCACACACACACACACACACGCACACACACACACACAACTTACGCCTTGGGGTCCATCCCTGCGTTGGTGTCTGGAGACGTGTCCATGTCGGTTTTGCGGTTGTTGTTCTTGGCTGTCGGCTCTTGACCTGCCTTGGTCGTGGCGTGTGTGTGCGATGATGGGTGTGTGACAAGTGTGTCGCTGCTTTGCGCTTGTTTGTTCGCCCTCGCTCGCCTGAGACACCTGCAAAATCTGCTGAGTCAGGTCGCATGATCGACGATTCGCTGTATTTCCAGTGGATTCTCCGTTGCCTGCACGCATCTGCTTGGTGCTTGTGTTTGTTGGCGTGTGTTGTTGTGTTTTGTTTTGCGCCGCCCTCGCCATCACCCACAACAACCAAACAACCAAACAAGCAAAGCAAGCACACAAGCGAGCGAGGGAGCGTGTGCTGCTGCGTGTGAGCGGTGCTGCTGGCTTGGGACGACGACGACACGAGGCGAGAAGGACGAACGTAGACGCAGCGACTTGCAGTGCAAATTATATTCCTCACAAGAATGAGAATGGCAACGATGAAGACGACCGGCGCCACTGTCAGTGCTGTTCTTGTGGCTGTGCTGCTGGTTGTGGGTGGTGCAAGTGCACAGCAACAAGCATGCAATGATATCACAAACACCCACACCATCTCGGACCTGGAGAACGGCGCCACGGGTGAAATCCCTTACACAGACTGCAGCATCCTTAATGGCGACCTCTTCATCAGCTGCACCACAGGTTGGGTCATGATGCGGGGCTTATGTGGTGCGAGCGAGCTCGTCTTGTGTCGTGTTGTGTGTGTGTGTGACGTACAGAGTGAGCAACACAACCGTGTCTTGATTGTAATGTGAGGTTGTGATGTCTGTCTGTGTGATCTTGCACAGTCTGCTCGCTGTCTGCTCACAGTCTGCTCACACTTGTACACATTGCGCTCCGGTTGAACAATTCCACCCCTGCGTGCATAGCCGTTGCTGTGGAGGACCTTGAGGTTCTTCGGAACGTCGAGCGCATCACGGGCTCGGTCACCATCCAGGTTGGTTACAAGCGCTTACACATCTGTTGTTGTTCTAGCACGGCACTCGCCGATGCACAGTGACATGGAACAGATGCAAGCCATCGAATACCTTCACAAATTCACACACACGCACACATTCCCTTCTTCTCTCTCACAAACACACACATTCACGTTCACACACACACGCACACATTCCCTTCTTCTCTCTCTCGCACACACACACGCACACATTCCCTCACCTCTACATACACGCCACAACACGACACGTGACGGGCGTGAGCAGAACTGCCCCAATCTTGTCAATTTGGACGGGCTGCGCAGCCTGAAGGAGATTGGCGGTGACCTGGCCATCACCAACAACAACCTGCTGGAGAACCTGCACGGGCTCGAGCGCGTAATGCGCATCGACGGCGCCGTGAGCATCTTCCGCAACCCAACGCTCTGCTACATTGACCTCATGCGCTTCGAGCGCGTCGCCGCCAGCGTCGAGTTTGTGCAGCTCCCAAACTGCCTGGAGACCCAGTGCGACGCCTCGTGCACCTGCGGCTACTGCGGTGGTCCAGATGAGTGCCTGCGGTCTTGCGATGACCCGAGCCTGGCATGGGTCGCCGCCCCAGTCGTGGCGGGCGTCTTGCTCATTGCCGCCATCATCGCCTTCATCGTCATCATGTGCAAGCGCGGCGACTGTCAGTGCGACTGCTTCTGCACCTTGACAGACCCCATTGAGATTGAGATGCCAGACGGCACCGTCATGTCCCAGGTCGCTTCCCGCAAAGCCAGCCAGCAAATCCTCTTGCCAGTCCACAGGGAGTCGCAGTACGAGCAGCACGTGTCGTTTGCGTCTGGCAAAGGACAAGCTGCGGGTGTGTCCGCATCCCAAAATGGCCAGCAGCAACAGGGTGCTCAGCCTCGCCTCGTTATGCCACCACCACGCGTCGCCCATCCCGTAACTGGAAGCCGCGGTGCCCGTGCCCGCCCTGGTCCTCTCCAACAGCAGCACCAGCAGCAACAGCAGCAGCAACAGCAGGTGTCGTCGCCAGCCGCGGCACCGTCTGCCATCCGGCTGCCTCGACTCCGTCCACAGGGGCAGCGTGCCCCAATTCCACGACAGGACGGCCGCGGACCACGGCCCGTGTCGCCAAAGGCACCCGGCTCTCCAAAGACGCCAACAACGCCCAGAGGTTGGTTTTGGTTTGATTATCCTTGTATTTTGGTTGTTTGTGTTTGCGCGTTTGCCTGTGTTTGTGTTTGTGCGCTTGCTTGTGTTGTATTTGGTTGTTGGTGCTGGGTTGCTTGTGTTTGTGTTTGGTTGTTTTGTGTTTGGTTGTTTTGTGTTTGGTTGCTTGGGTTTGCGCGCTTGTTTGTGCTTGTGTTTGTGTTTGTGCGCTTGCTTGTGTTTGTGTTTGTGTTTGTGTTTGCGTTTGTTCGGGCTCGAAGTGTCCCAGTGTTTGCATTTGTGGAAGTTGCCTGTCTTCGCACACAATGCCAACTATCTGTTCTCCCTTGTCGATCTCACCCATCACCAACCCCCCTCTGCCATTCCGTTCCGCCCCGTTCACTCTTCGTGTACAGCAATGCCACCAATGCGGCCGGTGAGCCCGCACACCCCAAAGCAGTCATCTGCGTCCCCAGGCTCCTCCACGCACGAATCTCCAAAGCACTCAAGGGAGGGTGCCCGGAAGGACGAGGAGGACACGGGTGCCAACCAGGCGACCACCGCACCTGACCAAGACAACGCACAGCGACCATCACTGCCGTCGTCCTCAAGAGCATCGCCAGCAGCACCATCGTCATCGTCTCGGCAGACATCGCCGAAGCGCGACGCAAGTCCTCGATCCAACAACAGCAACCACCACGACAGCAACAGCCGTGATGGCGATGCTGATGATGACGACGAAGACGACGATGCAGATGAGGCAACTCAACACGAGACGGTTGACAGCCAAGTCTAATTGCTGTTACGTTACCACGCACTCACAAGCACGCAAACACACCTTTCCTTGTTTTCACAACATCACATTGACATTGTTCTGACCTGCAAAACCCCAACTCCTGACTTGCATGGCTCAACGCAGCACACCAGTGCACGCCGACCAAACACACCCTGAACACGGCCGCCTTTACCACTTCAAAACACACACACACACACACACACATGCGCACACACACATGCACACTTCGTTTGCGTCTCCCTTTGACCTTTCTGACCGCATTGCCCCAAGACGGGGCATGTCAACCTGTGCATTTTCCTTTGGCTTGCACCCACGTATCATCAATACACGCACACAATGAAGCGTCCACGGGAAGGGTGTTTATTTCGGGCACGAGGGCCCAAGCAACACGCAACACACAAAAAGGCATCACCACCAGCACCACAAACGTTAGGGAAAAAGCAACGCGCACAACACAAGCAGCAAGAAACAACCAACAGTCTCGCATGCTCGTCATCACCATCAGGTTAGGAGGGAGAGAAAGACCACAAACTAAACAACACCCAACACAGCCCCAACACAACACAAACAAACGCCACATGCACGAGCAATGGGGACTGCTGGCACAAGTCACACGTGCAAATGTGTGCGAACAACCCCAAGGTCAGCATCAACGGCATCAGAGGAAAAAAAAAAAAACATAAGCATGAGTGAGACATGGGAGTTTTTTTTTTTTGGGGGGGGGGGGGGATCACGGAAGCACTGGGTGAGAAAAATGTGCTTGCAGCGGCCATTACGAACGAGTCGTGCGTTTAGCGAGCAAACACCTCCTCAATCCACGCGGGGAAGTCGTATCCAGGCTCCTCCTCCGCAGGGCGCGCCGTGGCCTTGATGTACTCGACGTCGTCCGATGACAGCAGCTCCGCCAGTTGTTCCTCCGCAACAGCCGTGCGCCCGCGGGCAATGACCTTGAACGACTCGTTGACGCCCGCTGGGGTGCCGGCGTCGCCAAGCAGCGTGATCATGAGCTCGCGGAAGGGCTGGAAGCTCAGGTTGCCGGCGGTGCCGTACTGGGACATGTACGCCTGGATCTCGGCCTTGGTGCGCTCCTCGCCGAGAGAGAACAGGCACGACCGCAGCTCACGCTCGTTGACTGCAAGCACGTGCATTGTGTGCATGGTTGTTCACAGGGTTGTGAAGGCGGAGGGGGGGGGGGAAGGGGGAGGTGTTGGCAGTCAGCAATTGATGGCATGAGATAAGAGGGAACACGATGTACACGATGCACACAAAGCACAGCACTTTAACCACAAGCAAGACGCAGGCACACATACACACACAGACACATACACACACACAGACACAGACGCAGAATACTACTGACTGGAGTTGCTGTCGTCCTTGTCAAAGGAGTGGAAGATCTGCTCCATCTCCTCGTACTGCTGCGGGGAAATACCGCGGTACTTCTTGTACGCAACGACGTTCTCCAGGTACGGCTTGCGGCTTTGCAGCACCTGCATGTAGTTGTCCCACGTGATCTGAACATCCTCCACAGAGAGCACCGTGTACGGGTTGGACTCCACGCCGCGCTCAGCGAGCGACTTTTCAAGCTGCGTGGCAGCAGCAAAGTCGAGCTTCACGCTGTCGGCGTTGTTGAGGTTGTCTGTCACCAGCGCAAGCTGGTCCTCCTCCGTGCTGCTGGCAGCCAGCACCTTGGCCATGAGCTCAGACACCTGCTTCTCAAACGGCACAACAAGGTCGGCAAACTGCTTGCACAGGGCGTCGTTTGCGCGATGGCGCTCGCGCTCCTGCTCGTAAAAGGAGCGGCGGGCCTGCACAGCAGCGTCCAACTTGCCCTGTGCCGCATCAAGATCAGCAGACGTCAGCTTCGTGTACGCGTTCTCCTGCAGGTGTGTGAGGCGAGGGGGGGGGGGGGCGAGGCGAGTTGAGTTGGGTGAGTTGGGTGATTGGGTGAGGTGGGTGATTGGGTGCGTTGGGTGCGCGCATGGGCATGAACAGGATGTGGTCGTGAGTGGTGTTGTTGTTGATGCTGTTGGTGGTAAGAAACGTCCACGGATGTGTGGTTGTGGGCATGTATGTGGGGTCGTGGGTGCATGGGTGTGTGACAATCCACGCGCATGATGGTACAGCAGTGTTGACACCAACCACTGCAAAAACCAAAAAAATAAAATAAAAAAAGATAAGAAGATGAGAAGAGACCAAGACACAACAAGGACACGTACGGTGACACCGAGGGAGTCCATCTCTGTAAGGGCGGCCTTGTACTCCTTCTGGCGGGCAGCAGTGGCGTTGGAGAGCTCCTGCTCCTCGCTCAAGAGCGTGGTCTCGTACGCCTCAACCTCATCCAGCGAGAAGCCGTGCATCACCTTCTGCTCGTCCTGTGTGCCAATCTCCGCAATCTGGGCATGCACATGAAATTGGAATGTGTGTGAGAACGGCGCGCACACGGTGGTATTCGGCTGGTGGAACACGTGCTTCCAGCACACGCACACCAGCGAGCAACCGCGTGTACCAAATCCAACGCACAGCAAAGCACAGCAAAGACACAGCACACCACGCCACAGCACAGCACATCACAGCACCTTGTCGTTTGTCATGCGGATGAAGTCAGCAGCGAGGCTGGCAAACTCGAGGCGAAGCTCCTCCTTGCGCTCCTCCTTGGCAAGCAGCTCCTGCAGCGTTGACTGGCGGGCAGCGGCCTCGCTTGCACGGCTGGCAAACGCCTCGTCGACAGCTGCCTCGTGGCCCTGACGATGGAAATAGAGGTTGGTGGTGGCGGTGAGGGTGAGGGGAGACGTGGGGTTGGTGTTGGTGTTGGTGTTGGTGTGATGAGGGAAACATACCGTTTTGGAGTGAAGGCGGGACAGCGAAGAACACGTGCGAACGATAAGGTAAACAGCAGCAACAACAACAGCTTAAACAACAACAACAACAACAACAGCTTAAACAACAACAACAGCTTCAACAACAACAACAACAACAACAACAAACAGCTTAAACAAGTAAACGACAAGCAACACGGACAAACGTCTTTATATCGCGCACCGTGATCTCAGCCGGGTTCTCGTAGGTGTAGGAGCTGTGGGCGGTCTTGTACTGGCGGCCAAGAATGTCCTTGCCAAGCTGCTTGAGGGAGACAACCATCGAGTCCTGCACCGTCTTGCGCTCCTGCTCAAGCGAATCGAGCTGACTCAGCAAAAACTGGGCGTCGGCGATGCTGTTGACAACAATGTCCTCGGCGTACTGCTTCTGCTTGAGGGCAGCAAAGCTCATGAGGTTGTCGTGGCTGCTCGAGTGGGTTGACGCCATCAGTCGCGTCTGCTCTGCAAACAGCTCCCGCGCAAGGTCGTCCTCAAGCACCTGCCCGTGTGTGTGTGTGTGCGTGCGTGCGTGCGTGTGTGTGCATGTGTGTGCATGTGTGTGTGTGTGAGCAGCAAAAGACGAAGCAAAACATGAAGAGCGGAGCGACAGTCAGTCGACACCCAAGGAAATGTTTGCCACGCACACCCACACGCACACACAAAATCGCAAAGACGAGAAAAGCATGCATGTATGCATGCAGGCACGTCGTCGCCACCCCGCCACCCCGCCACACGTACCGCCTTCTTGGCTGCTGCCTTCTGGTCGAGTTCCTGCCACTTGGCGTCAATCTCACTCTCCAGGGCAACCAGGGTGTCGGGCTTCTCATACTTCCACTGGGAGAGCTCTGTCTTGTACTCTGTGGTGCGGACCTCGTTGCCCATGGCCTTGAGCGACGCCACGTTGCCCTCGGTCGTGTCTGCCTTCTCCTTCTCGTACAGCTCCAGCTTGCTCAGCTGCTTCTTGGCCTCGGACGAGCTCTCCACCGTCTCCTTCGTCTCCAGGTACTCAATCTTCTTCGCTGCCCACGCCAGCAGCTGCTCGTACTGCGAGCGGTGGTTGCTGACCAGGAGGTCGATGCGCTCGCGTTCCTGCTCGCGGGCCAGGTCGTCCTCAAGCACCGTGCGCTTCTGCGCCGCCTGCTGCTCCAGCGTGGACAGCAGCGCCTGCACGTCCTCCTCCAGCTTCTGCACGGCGGCAGGGTCCTCGTACACCCACTGGGAGTACTGCGTCTCGTACTTGGCGTCGCGGATGGCGGCGCCGAGGGAGTTGAGGCGAGCAACGCTGCCCTTTTCCACATCGCTCTTCTCCGTGAGCAGCGCATCGAGCACGCTCAGCTGGAGGTGGGCTGCCTGCACAGAGGCCACCGTCTCCTTCTTGGTGGCGTAGGCAGACTTCTCTGCGCACCAGGCCTGCAGGGACTGGAACGTCTCCGTGTGCACCTTCACGTCGAGCCGAACCTTCTCCTTGAAGAGCTGTTGCACCGTCGCAGGCATCATGGTGGTGGTGGTGATGTAGTGAAGAATTCGTGGTGGTGGTGGTGGTGGCGAAGGTGAGGAAAGGATGGGATTCAGAAAGAGACTCAGGTCTGAACAAGCGATTGAAGGGCCAAGTCAACGCGACATGGCGACTGGTCCACGCGAGGAAGCAAGCAAGCAAAGGAGGAAAGGAAGAGAAGGAGCACACAACACCACGCATGTGCGTGCGCATGCATACACACGACACACGCACATGCACACGCACGACACACACACACACATGTAAACACACTCACACACACGCCCACGCACCTCGCGAGCAAGGTTGTCCTTGAGAACGGGCTCCTTCTCGGCGGCAGTCTGGTCGAGGGTAGCGAACCTGGTCTTGATGTCGCTCTCGCGCTCGCTCGCCTCCGCAGCGCGCTCGTACTTCTCCTCGGCGAGCACCTTGCTGATCTTGGCGAGCTGCTGCACGGGGTCGGCCTGCATGGCCTTGCTCTCCTTGACAAAGCTGTCAAAGAGCTTGAGCTGCTTGCGCGCCTCACCGCTAGACGTCACCGTAAAGTCGCCAGCAAGGTACTGGTTCTTGTCCTCAATCCACTGCACAATCTTGCCTGCAAGCAAACACACACACACACATGCGATGAACCGCCGCACTTGAGCGAGTGACATTTTCATGTGACCATGCACATGTGGCTATACACGCACGCACGCACACTACGTGCACAGTACATCACAGTACACGCGCACACAGTACACGCACGCACACACTGAGCACCCTCACACACTCGACATACACACACACTCTCTCTGTCTCAGCGTACGGACCGGCCTGTGTGGCGTGCTGGGAGTCGAGCTGGAGAAGGCGTGTCTGGCGGTTGAGTTCGGCGTGCAGCTGCGACTCAACACTCTCCTTCGCCTGCAGGTCCCGAATACGCGCCGTCAGCGTGCCGAGCACCAGCTGTGGGGGAGGGGGGGGGAGTGTTGGGGGTGGAGAAATTGGGGCGGAGAGATGGGTGAGAGAAGTTGAAGTGAACACAAACAAGCACGCGCGCCAAGTGACAAGAGAGCAAAATATTCAGGCACACCTGCACACGTTCACACACACACGCGCGCGCGCGCACACACACACACACACATGCTCACACACACACACACGCACACAGTCTTCGCACACACAACGCACCTCGCTGTTCTCTGGCACAAACTCTGGGCGGTTGTGGTTTGCGAGGCGCATGGCGAGGGTGTTGTAGGTTGCCTCCATGTCGAGGTGGATTGAGACGATGCTGCGCTTGTGCTCGGACTTGTATGTGTCAAAGCGATGGAGGCGGTCCTTTGCGCCGGCCATGGTGTTGTCGATCACGTCCACGCCCGTCAGGAGCTCCTCAGAGGTGCGCACGCGCTGCAGCAGCTGCTCGCCCTGCTCAACATACCGCGCCTTGGTCTCGTCCTGGCGGCGACGGTGGTGAAGCGTGGTAGAAGAAGAAGAAGAAGAAGAAGAAGAAGAAGAAGAAGAAGAAGATGATGATGATGATGATGATGATGATGATGATGATGATGATGATGATGATGATGATGATGATGATGATGGAGTGGGGGACGGAGTGAGGCATAAGAAGATGATGTGGTGAAAATGGTGAGAGCAGCAGTACACCAGCGGGAGAACCGCACACAAAACGCGCACAACAGCAAACAAGCAGAGAACAGGGGAGGAGGACGCACGTTTTCGCGGGTGAAAGCGATGAGCTTGGAGATGCGCTTGGCAGCGAGGTCGCGCTTGAGCTGTCAACAACGACAATGTGTGAAGTGGCACACGTTGCAGTGAGGATCCACAGCAACCGGCCGGGATGGGATGCAAACACCCCTTCACACGCACACACACGCACACGCACATAAACACACACACACACACGTACCTGTTCGTTGATGTGGTAGTAGTACTCGCTGCAGTAAACGAGCATGGACTTTTCGTCCAGCTTGAGAATATCGGCGGGCGTCAAGTACTTCTCAATGCCAAACAGCTCCTCAGCCTACAGTCGCGGTGCGTGGCACGTGGTGGTGAGCACATGGTGATGACTCGTGTGTGTATGCGTGTGTGGATGTGTGAGCATGTGCAGCATGCTCACATTGACACGCGAGGGCGAAAGGCAAGGATACTCGCACAAACACACACACGAGACAATAAATCACACACACACACACACAAAATTAAACCATACACAAAAGCGCAAACACACATGCACACAGCATCGAAAACACATTCAACAGCACGCACCTTGTCCATGGCGAGCTGAAGGTTTTCGGCC